TACAAAGAAGAACACTTATTAGCAGTGTTTTCTAAGAAAAATAAATACTATTATTATTGTTCACATACTTATTAAGGCTAAGTAAACTAGAAACTAGAAAGATTGTTTAATGATTTTGAAGTCTCTAATGATCACCAAGGCTCCAGAAAATGCAGTAATTTAAAAAAGATATATTATTACAATTTAAAATAACTCTACTAAAATAAATCTACTTTAATAAATGTATTCCTGTGATGCAAAGCTGAATTTTCAGCATCATTACTCCAGACTTCAGTGTCACATGATCCTTCAGAAATCATTCTAATATGCTGATTTGCTGCTCAAGAAACATTTATTATTATTATGTTGAAAACAGTTGTGCTGCTTAACATTTTTGTGGAAACTGATATATGTATATATATATATTATGCAATTAATTTCTTTCATATAAAAAGAAAACCCTAGCATTGTGGCAGAAGATTTTGCACAGACAAGCACCACTCGTTTTCTTTAAAAAATGTCAAAATATACAGTAGTTTACATTATGAGAGAAAGCAGATGTGACCATGTGCTGACAAATGAGTCACATCTACTTTTGAGCCAGCTTTTTCAGTTCCACAACAAGCTACAATGGTCTCAAGTAAGGCCAGTAATAATATGTACACTATTGCAAAATTGTATGTACCATGAAAGCAATCAGTTTGCTAAATTCACAGAAACATAAACAGACAATATATGCAACAGGCAGTTCATCAGCACGTCTGCAGGGATTGATTGCAGAATGCATGATGGCTATATTGACCGTTTAAGCTTTATGACTGCATTTAATTTCCTGAGTCTACAGCCACAGAATTTAACAGTCTCAGTTAACGGCAAGACGAGTCTATAGGCTTCCGACTGGATTCTATTTAGTAAATAACAAGTTATATTCTTTTATGTGAGTCATTAATTTGAATGAGATGGATGGGTGTTGTTTACAGATACCATCTAATGACACATGTATATATTTATTAGCTTATTTATACTTTGAAATGACTTTTGTTTGTGTAGCCTAAAGTAGTCAGATCGATGCATTCAATATTTTTAGTAAAATAAAATCAGTTCATTTAGATGTTAAGGGCCTTTTGTTGTTACAGTTAGTGTGCATAATTTATAATAGTAGTGAGTAAAACCAGAAGGTTTCTGTGACCACAGTTTCCTTAAGAAACCTTACAAAGCCGAGTGGGGAATTACATTTTCTAGAAACCACTATATTTCAGTTTCAGCCCAGAAACGTTTATAAACGTGTGGGGGTTTTGCACTCTGGTCTGTTTGGTCATTTGAAGTGGCTCAACTTGATTTACTGGAGGTCAGCGTAATCATAAACATCTCACGTTTGGTTCTTGGTCAAACAAGAGACACGCATGAGTGTTTATATTAGTTTCTGTGTTTGTCCAAGTCACGTTTTATGATAACACGTGAAACATGACACTGATCTAAAATAAGACTCTTGTAAAAGACACCACAGCGTTACTCAGCAGTCTGCTTTATAAAAACTATTCTTATCTCATGTAATCTTATACTCTTCTTTATTGGGTCTGTTGTAAAAGAATAACTGAATACTAATGGGACAGAGTTCGAGTTTAATTCATAGCCCAGATTTTGCAAACTGCTACAGCATAAAACTGACCCTCCTAAAAAAATTAACTTCTACAGACAACTTGACAGCTCCTGCAGATTCGTCATACAGCTTTGTCACACTCTGCCTTCTCTGTTTCTCCCTTAGGGGGAAATACATTTCATCCCCCTTGCATAGGAAACATCAAGCGGCTTCCAGATGAACCTTGCGGCACACTCAGAAATATGCCAGGATTGAAAAAGGATCAAAGCTGAACAATGGCTGGATCCTGAACGTAGAATCAGTGCGGAAAGATGAACTCAAACACTGAACAGTGAGAGTGGCAGTGCCAGGGTTGTAATATGAACCAGTCGAGCATACGGTAGCTGACAGCACAATGAGAACAGTGAAAGGCCATTGAACAGGGCTTTCACATCTTTTCTTTGACATTTTCCCACCATGTTGCTTTATTAAATTATAATAAATACTGTTAAACATGAAACAAGGTTCTGATTTTGTCTTATTCACAGCCTTATTTTTTGTTACAAAAAACATAATTGTCCTAAAAATGATATAATTATTATTATAATTATTTAATATATTTAAAAAATGATTTATGTAATATTTATATATACAGAAGTATGTTACAAAAACATAAGTTGGTTGGTTGCCATAGAAAATCTGCATTTTAATTACATATGTATTAAAAAAGATATAATTTATATTTTGTTCATGTTCGAAAATTAAACAATCCGTCAATTATTCCTTACTTAACTGTATATATTATGTAGAGAATTCTGTCCTACAAAACATAATTGTCATAAAAATTCAGCATTGTAATTCTAATTATATATGTGACCTTGGACCACAAAACCAGTCATAAGTAGCACAGGTATATTTGTCGCAATAGGCAAAAATACACTGCATGGGTCAAAATTATCGATTTTTCTTTTAAGCTAAAAATCATTAGGATATTAAGTAAAGATCATCGTTCCATGAAGATATTTTGTAAATTTCCTACCGTAAATATATCAAAACTTAATATTTGATTAGTAATATGCATTGCTAAGAACTTCATTTGGACAACTTCAAAGAAGATTTTCTCAATATTTAGATTTTTTTGCACCCTCAGATTGCAGATTTTCAAATAGTTGTATCTCAGCCAAATAATGTCCTATCCTAACAAATCAATGGAAAGCTTTCAGATGATGTATAAATCTTAGTTTCAAAAAAATGACCCTTATGACAGGTTTTGTGGTCAAGGGTCACATGTGCAATGCGTAATTCAAAATATAGCTAAAACACCTTCAAAAAAATCAATACGAATATTTCCTTTATATTAATGTTGTAGACCAACACACTATACAAACTAAACTCAATCAAGGGATCAAGAACCACCACTGCACTGGACTATATATGCAGGGTATAGACTTTGTAAGATAGAGACCCAATGGCAGGGTAATAAATATATCTCAGGGGTTCAATCAGGCAGTAAGATATCTTTTCCTTGTTGGCAGCCATTCAAGGGTTCAAGTCCAATATGGGAAATCAAGAGTGAATTAAATGAATTAGATTTAAGGGATGGATTCTATCCAGCTAAACAGAGTGGATTAAACAGCACCTATTCGTTACACTTAGCCATCAACATGCTACCTAATTAAAAGGCAGCCAAGATGGACAGCTCTGCCCTATTCCTGTTTACCCTGTGATTAAAAAGCAGAGAGGATATTGAGCAATAAATAACTCCTAAATGACTCAGGACAATTGGATTTTCACTGTGGTCCAGCACACTGAGATTCATTTAGGATAGCACAATAAGCATCAAAAGAGCCTCATTTACATTTCCCCATGCCATTTTCATAATAATAGAATCAGAATCAGAATCAGAATGAGCTTTATTGCCAGGTATCGCAATAGGCAATGCCTCTATCACTCTGAAGAGATATTTGGGATGGTACTGTGTGTCAATTGAGTGTAAGTGAGTCTGTTGTCACATTGGCTCTGTGTGATATTCAAATCCTGACCTTAACTATTACAAGAGACACTGAATGTGTATCTCAGGCCAGCTGCTGTTTAAACCTAGTTAGATATCTTCCACTAAGTTGTAAAACAGAGAGAACAGGTGCAATCCAGACTTGCCAAATCAGATGGCCTGACAAAACTACAAGTGGACAGGGAAGTTTATAAATACTTATTTCTTCACAATACAAAAACATGAGCAGACGAATCATTACCTGACATTTTGGTACAGTTTGCCTATCTAAGTTCTTTCTACACTTACAAGTCTATATTTAAAAAATTGGGACCAGTAAGTCCAATTAGACTATAGGCAAATTTCCTCAGAAATATTTAAATAAGCATTCATTTATAAAATTGTAATATAGTTGTTTCGACCCAGCGGTTGGTTCAAAACAACCCAACGGCTGGGTCAAAACAACCCAATAGCTGGGTTTGTCCCTTTTTAACCCAGCGCTGGGTTATATCTAACCCAGCATTTTTTAGAGTGTATATTTGTCATCTAACAACATTTTTATTTGCAGCATTATTAAAAACCAGTGAAATTTCTTGATTTGAATTCACAATTTTAAAATTCCCTGATATTTCTGCATTTTCCATGACTCCCACACTCCCGGTTTTCTAGATTTTGAAAAATATGGTGAAAATGGAAAAAAAAAGTGAAAAATATGGTGAAAAGTTCCATCATTTTAATAGGCTATTTTAATAGTTAATGTCCATGATATTTGTTAACTACACATTGTGCTTAATGTTTTGAGGTGTAAGGACTGATTCTTAAATAAAACCACTATATTGCATTAGGTTAACAGCGTTAATTTGCCGAAAAATATGTATTGCACGAGTTGAGTCACCTCTCCCATCAGAGGCTTCATGCCCATTCAAAGTGCCCCCTCAGATTTCTGAGCCAAGTGGATTTTGAATGCAGCTTCTACAGGATATTAATTTCACAGTGTAAACAGCTTCAGTGATTTAAATGGGAGTTTTTGAGAGTGCCTGAACTCTGGCTAGACTGAATGAAAATGTTCTTTGATAATGTAAATGTTCTTTGCTCTCTGTAAAATGAAAGTGTTAAAATGAGTAACTTACAATATTGTTATTAAATTCACATTAAATACAAAGTCAGTCGTATTAAAAATATTTTATGGCATGACAGCCTTATCTGGGACTTAAGTATAAAGACGGGTTTTATGTGTAGTTGATAGTATTACAGTATTAGTCTACTTCTATAAAGGTGCAAAATGCATTTACTTACACATATTTGAGAATCGAGATATTTCCTGATATAGTTACCACGTTTGGAAATATTTCGAATAAAAAGAAGAAAAAAATATATATATATATATATATATCAGGCATGACGCACCTGTCTCCCATTATATCCCCATTACAACATGTGTGTGTAATTTACCTTCAGCGCGCACTTTTGTCCGGTTTTCTTGTTATAGCACTCCACCACTTTGCCGTTAACACCCAGACCCAACACTTGACTTGAGACTTTGTAGTCCTCGGTCACGGCATGACGCTTGATTTCCAGCTTGGGATAGACGGTTAGGGGGAACCGAGTGGAGTCGGTGTCTGTGGACTGGCTCTCTGCGTGAGACGCGGCGCTCTCGGTCGCTTCTGTCTTCTCGCTTTGCGTTTCAGGTTTTGGCTCGGGCTCGGACGCGTCCGCGTTGTCCGTTTGAGACTTTCCATTCTGGAGCATCTTTCAATGCAGGCGAAATTAAGCTATTAGACACTCAACGTGGCTGAAGAGTGTCCTTTAAAATCCACAGATAAACTATCCGCGCGCTGTCACTGAGTGACGCTGCTCCGAAAATACACTGCTGATGAATTCCTGTGATGACTGACGGTTACAGAATTACAGCACATTTACCAGCATTAGGCCACTTATATTCAGATACATATAAATAAAATGCCAATTTCAACATCACCAGGAAGATTATCATAAATAAAGTTGAACAAAAAAATTAAATCCCCTTATTTGTAGGCTAAGGTTTTGTCCATAAGTTATAAAAATGAATTCGAAAACAGTGTTACCAAGTAATAAGTCATATTCACGTTGAGTAGAAAAGGTCCCAGCTGAAAGTGTCAGAAATGAAAAAGAAAGTGTGATTTGTCATGCGGAGTTCCCGTCATTGACTGTATTGCCGCTGTGTGTGTGTGTATGTGTGTGTGTGTTCACATGGGGTCAGTAGTGTCTGTTGCAGAAGCGCGAGCTG